GCCTATCCCTCGGTATCTTTTAATCGGTATCTGACTCACATAACCGGAAGCTGGACTTCCCTTCGGTATCTTTCAACCGGTAGCCGGGAGCTGACCTCCCCTTCGGTATCTTTTAACCGGTAACCGGGAGCTGACCTCCCCTTTGGTATCTTTCAACCGGTAACCGGGGACTATTTCACCCCTACCACTACCACATAATAACATAACATTAAGATACTTCTAGGAATGCATGAGTACTGTCTACCCTTTCAGTATCTTTCAACCGGTAATCGGGGACTATTTCACCCCTACTACTACTAACACATATATCATAGCATTTAAGCACATAAAGCGTAATAGATAGTGGCATACCAGAGAATTATCACAAAGACAATCATCTAACAAACAACTCCTACTAGTGGGCCGGCATTGTGGCCTTAGACCCACTTCTATTGGAAGGTAACTCACCTCAATGTCGTGTAGTAAATGAACTATCCTCGGTGCTGGGATCAACTCTCCTCAAACTCCTACACATAACATCTCTTTTAATTACTCTTTTAAACTTATAACCCCTTTAAGGGTCAATTCTAGATAATGGTCAAAGTCAAAGTCAAAGCCAACGCCCGGGTCAAAGTCAACATCCTGGTTGTCTCAACTCGCCGAGTTGGTCCATCAACTCGTCGAGTTCCATAATTCATAGAATCTCGAATCCACGATCTAACTCGTCGAGTTACCCTCTAACTCGCCGAGTTTCTCCTTATAACAGAATTGGGACTTTCCATTAGAACACATCGAGTCCTTCCTTGGGCTCGTCGAGTTCTCCTTCATACAGGTCGGGACATTTGCTCATTGAATCGTCGGGTTCATCCTTGGACTCGTCGAGTTCTTGACCTTTAAGTCCATAAACACGTCTAACTGGTTGAGTCATCTACTAGACTCAACAAGTTTGCTAAGTAACAGAGAAGGTTGGGGAACCACGACCTAACTCGCCGAGTCCTAAGAACGATTCGTCGAGTCCCCCATGATCCAAATCTATCCACTCGATTTCATTCGGGCTTAATGCATCCAAAACATAGATCTGAAGTCAATACCCCAAAACATGCTTGCATCCATGAATGGTTCCAAAAATGGATCCTTAAAGCCCTAAACTACTCCAAGAAGAGATCTAATAGATGAATGGACAAGGTATAAACTTTATACCTCAAATGAGATGGAAATAGAGCACAAACTCTGGATCTACTTGCTTCCACTTGAACCCCTAAGCTTCCTCTTTCTTCTCAAGCTTCAAAATCACCAAAACTAGACAACAATGGCTCAAGAACACTCAAAATGGGTTAGGGTTTCGAATTAGGGTTTTCTGGACTAAGGGAGGCGATGAGGGAGGCCACAATGGGGGTGTTAAGGCCTTTAAATAGGATGCAAACCCTGAAAATTAGGGTTTCACTCTGGCAGACCTACTCGTCGAGTCGAGGCTCCTCGACTCGTCGAGTAGACTTCAAGTCCCGCGTCCACCATATCCAATTCCTACTCGACGAGTTTGGGGCCTCCAACTTTTCGAATCCCTTTGCAAATATGAATAATTCTTTTTTAAAATATGTACCATGAACCGGGCGTTACACATCGTTTACCATGGGCACGATAACTGGTACACCAGAGGTGTGTCCTTCCCGATCCTATCATACTAGGGAAAGGTTCTCTCAATGCTCTAACGCCCACACCATATATGGACCAAACTGTGTCACAACGTTCTGAACCCAGCTCACGTACTGCTTTAATGGGCGAACAGCCCAACCCTTGGAACATATTACAGCCCTAGGTGACGACGAGCCGACATCGAGGTGCCAAACCTTCTCGTCGATGTGAGCTCTTGGGGAAGATCAGCATGTTAACCCTAGAGTAACTTTTATCCGTTGAGTGACGGCCCTTCCACTCGGCACCGTCGGATCACTAAGGCCGAATTTCATCCCTGCTCGACAGGTGGGTCTTGCAGTCAAGCTCCCTTATGCCTTTGAACTCGAGGGCCAATCTCCGTCCGGCCCAAGGAAACCTTTGCACGCCTCAGCTACCTTTTAGGAGGCCTACGCCCCATAGAAATTGTCTACCTGAGACTGTCCCTTGGCCCGTACGTCTTGACATAAGGTTAGAATTCTAGCTCTTCCAGAGTGGTATCTCACTGACGGCTCGGACCCCCCGGAAGGAGGCCTTCTTCGCCTTCCACTTAAGCTGCGCAGGAAAACCCAAAGTCAATCCCAGGGAACAGTGAAGTTTCATAGGGTCTTTCTGTCCAGGTGCAGGTAGTCCGCATCTTCACATACATGTCTATTTCACCGAGTCTCTCTCCGAGACAGTTCCCCGATAGTTAAACCTTTTGTGTGGGTTGGAACTTACCTGACAAGGAATTTCGCTACCTTAGGACCGTTATAGTTACAGCCGCCGTTCACCGGGGCTTCGGTCACCGGCTCCCCTGTCATCAAGTCACCAACTTCCTTGACCTTCCATTACTGGGTAGGCGTCAGCCCCCATACATGGTATTACGACTTTGCGGAGACCTATGTTATTGGTAAACAGTCACACAGGCCTGGTCACTACGACCCCCTTTGTGAGGAGGCACCCCTTCTCCCGAAGTTACATGGCTGTTTTGTCGAGTTCCTTAGAGAGAGTTGTCTCACACCCGTAGGTATTATCTACCTACCCACTTGTGTCGGTTTCGGGTACAGGTACCCTTTTTTTGAAGGTCGTTCGAGCTTTTCCTGGGAGTATGGCATCGGTTACTTCAACGTCGTAGCGCCTGGTACTCGAACATTGGCTCGAGGCATTTTCTCTACACTTTCTTACCCTAAAAAAGCAGGTTCACCTTACGTCCTTGAACCAATAACCATATTTCAGCTAACCTAGCCTCCTCCGTCCCTCGGGACCAACAATGGGTAGTACAGGAATACTCACTTGTAGTCCATCGACTATGCCTTTCGAGCTAATCTTAGGCCCTGACTCACCCTCCATGGACGAACCTTGTGGACTAACCATTAGGTTTTCGGGGCATTGGATTATCACCAATGTTTGCGTTACTCAAGCCGACATTCTCGCTTCCGCTTCATCCACTACCACTTGCGCGGGTGCTTCACTCTAAGGTGGAACGCTCCCCTACCGATGTATTTTTACATCACACAGCTTCTGCAAATCGCTTAGCCTTGTTCATCTTCGGTGCAAGAGTGCTCGATTAGTGAGCTATTACTCACTCTTTCAAGGGTGGCCGCTTCTAGGCAAACCTCCTAGTTGTCTCTGCACCCCTACCTCCTTTATCACTGAGCGATCATTTAGGGGCCTTAGCTGGTGATCCGGGCTGTTTCCCTCTCGACGATGAAACTTATCCCCCATCGTCTCACTGGATGACCTTGACCCCCGTTATTTTGAGGTCACATCTAGTATTTAGAGTTTGCCTGGATTTGGTACCGCTCTCGAGGCCCGCACCGAAACAGTGCTTTACCCCTAGATGTCCAGTTAAGTGCAGCGCCTCAACATATTTCAAGGAGAACCAGCTAGCTCTGGGTTCAAGTGGCATTTCACCCCTAACCACAACTCATCCGCTGTTTCTTCAACATCAGTCGGTTCGGACCTCCACTTAGTTTCACCCAAGGTTCATTCTGGTCATGGACAGAGTAGCCAGGTTCAGTTTCATAAGCAGTGACAATTGCCCTATGAAGACTCGCTTCCGGGTAGTACAAAAAATGGGGATCCTGTATTTCCAGGGTTGAATTTCATATTCTAATAACCCCGTAATCGTAAAAAAGTAGGTTTTTTTTATCTATGGGCCTAGCAAAATAAAAATTGGGATAGGATCTCCCCTTCCCCCTCAAAATCACACGTGAAAGTTTCCTTTCATCCGGATCAAGTAGGTATACCAAAAAAAGAAAAAGAAAGGAGTTCTCGCTTTCAAAGTCAAGAAAACTCCAAAAAGATCTACTCCTTACTCAAGTTTCCAGTGAAGACCAAGCAAAACTTCATGGATTCCGTCTTCCTTAATTATTTTTATTTAGATTTTATGAATTCTTTATTCAATTATGACATAAATCAAATGTGAAATTCTTGAGTAGTCTACTTCCCCTCGAATGATGAATCCTGTAATTCTTAATAAAAGATAGTACCTTAGAATTCAGAAGGAATTTACTTGTCTATTGTACTGTTCCATTTGATCTTTTAGGTCCCGACTTCACCTCGACGGTCAGGCCACGATACCCTTAAAGTCTATATGCGATAGATAGACTCTTGTAACCATGAAATCTTTTCTATGTGCTTACTTAAACATAATTTTTTTCTAAAAAAAGGAACTGCTTAATTACAAAAAAGAAAAAGTCTTTTTTTCACGAGGTCTAACTATAAATTCTTATGAAATCAACCATAGATCAATTCCCTTTTTGCGGAGCGTCTTGGATACATCCCTAATTATGAGCTTCATGTTACTCCTACCAAGAAACATGTCAGGTACAGGGCATCCCGATTGGATTAAATGGGATGACAATTTTCTCATTTCGAATCTGTAAAATTAGAATTTCGATCAAATCACACACCGCAGTATACTAGGTCTTCTAATTTGTTTAGAGGTTTATCTAAAAGAGTCACAATATAACTAGGAAGACGTTTCAAATACCACACATGCATTACTGGGTATGCGATTTTGATGTAGCCCATTTGATATCTTCGTATCCGAGAACCAACAAACTCGACTCCGCATTGTTCACAAAATTGTGGGTCTTCCTTTTCATCTCCGATTACTCGATAATTTCCATAAGCATAAATTCCACTTTCGATAGGCCCAAAAATTCTTTCACAAAATAATCCATCTTTTTCTGGTTTATTGGTTTTGTAATGAAAGGTATAAGGTTTTGTCACCTCTCCAACTATCTTGCCATTAGGCAGGATTTTTTTGGACCAAGTACTTATTTGTTGAGGAGAAACTAATCCAATTTGGAGTTGTTGATGTGTATATTGATCGATCATAGAAGAAAACTTATGCTTGATTTCGATTAAGCTTCCTTCCTATTAAGCTGGAAAGTCTTCTCATATACAAGAAAATGATTCAGTTCCAGAGCTAATGATCGTAGTTCTCGAACGAACAACCGAAAAGATTCTGGAGAATCTTCAGGAGTTGGTATTCTTCCTCCAAAGATTATAGTACCAAGTACTTCCTGACGTGCTCTAATATGATCAGATTTATAAGTAAGCATCTCTTGTAAAATATACGAAATGTCAAACCCCTCTAAAGCCCAAACCTCCATTTCTACGACCCGATGTCCCCCTTTCTTGGCCCTTCCTTTAAGGGGTTGTTGTGTAAGACGTGAATAACGCCCACTAGAACGCCTATGGATTTTATCATCAACTTGATGAATAAATTTCATGATATAAGGCTTTCCTATTATAACAGGTTGTTCAAAAGGATCCCCTGTTCTTCAATCAAATATTCTGCTTTTCCCTAGAGACTCAGGTTCAACTATCCATGGATTCACTGTTTGCTTACTGGCTTCATAAAATTCTGAAAACACTAGTTTTCTCGAAGCTTCTTGTTCATATCTCTCATCAAAAGGCGTTATTCGATAATGTTTGTCTAGCAAACCCCCAGCTAACTCGAGTGAAGATTCAAATATTTGTCCTACATTCATTCGGGAAGGTACTCCTAATGGGTTGAATACCATATCAACGGGTCTTCCATCTTGCAAATAAGGAATATATTTACTAGGAAATTTTTTTGAAATGATACCCTTATTTCCATGTCTTCCAGCTACTTTATCGCCTAGTTTTATTTCACGTTTCTGTAAAATATATACACGAATACTTTCTGTTTTCTCTGTCTCATCTGTCTTAGAACTCTATTATCTCGATTCATCCCCCATGAGGAATTGCCAAACCATTTGACTCCTCAACCATTACAATATAAAGGATTAGTCAATCAAATAATAGATAGTAAATGGGTCGGTTTGAAAATAAATGAAATGCTAGTTGTAGAATATTATTCTCGTCAGACTTAAACCTAACAAAATCAAAATCAACACTAATAAGAATAATGAAGAATAAGGGTTCGACCCATTTTTCTCCCTTTCAGCGAAGTAAATTAACCTAAGGTTAAGATAAATAAGGGTTTGATCCATATTTTTCTTCCATTTAGGTATCATAGACCGAGAGGGAGATTTTCGTTCCTTGTCTACTCTACTCTTTTCTTTTCACGGTATTTTCTGTACCACAACCATTAGAAATAGAGAATCTATATCAAAGAAAGGTCTAACTGTTGGAATAGTCGTATCCATTGCTATTTGATCTATTGTGGTTAGTAAGATCGATGAATTAGATGAAGGTACGGAAAGAGAGGGATTCAAACCCTCGGTAAGAAAAAGCCAACATAGCAATTCCAATTCTACGCCTTCAACCACTCGGCCATCTCTCCTACACAATAATTATGACCCAAAAAACTAAAATCGAGTGAATACTGAATCATTCTAGATTATTGGGTAGGTACAACCAATCAACTCTAACTATAAAGCAATCAAAATCGAAAATTTTTCATCATAGTAAAAGAAGTATCTTTCCTTCTAGGCTGGGGGGATAAAGATAAAAAAATTTCTTACAAAAACTGTTCAAAAAATTCTATTCATGTTTACAAAAACAATGTTCTCTTCTTTTTCTATATTCTCTATTTATATATTTATACTATACCGACTGGATTAAAATCAATAAATTAGAAATTCTAATGAATCAACTGAGCGAGGGATTTATATTTTGTAGACTATGGTTAATGGATATCTTTAGATCATGATTCTATTTAGACTACGATTCCATATCATAAGAATTCTCAAATTCCTTTCTAGACTAGATTTAGAGTTATCAACAAAAATCCTTATCCCATCTATCTATTACAAATAGAAATTGATAAACAATTTTTTTATACTTGATTGTATAGTGTATACCCCTAAGTACACAACACAAAAAATAGGCGGTTATTCTATTTTCATCATACAATGATTATTCGATCCTTTTCTTCTTTGTATCATAATTAAATCAACTGAGGTTATTCTAAGTTGTAACTTCAATCAAATAAGAATAGTTTCTTTCGATGGTAGACTATTCTAGTAAGATGGAATCGAATCCGATTACCATATTTCTTTCTTAGTTTTTATCAATTCCTGTAATGTAAAAAATAACAATTTGAATATTGAATTTTTGAATAAAAGAACTATATCTTTTTTTGTTTTTTTTTAATGAAAATCAATCTGTTTTTATGTTATTTCGTATCGTAGAATTATTTTCCTTGTGGGATTATTTTCTCGCGAGAAGTAATGAGAACAATGATAGAATGGATTGCTACCTATGCCTAGATCGCGGATAAATGGAAATTTTATTGATAAAACCTTTTCAATTGTAGCCAATATCTTATTACGAATAATTCCGACAACTTCAGGAGAAAAAGAGGCATTTACCTATTACAGAGATGGTGCAATTTGAATTTTTTATTAATCTCAGTCTTACGATAAATACACATGATTCGTGATGGGGAAAAAAAGAAAAACAATCTACACTTGTTGAAGGTAAAGTTTGGAAATTGATCAATTCCTTCTGTCATTTATCCTCGATAAATGCAGCCTCAGATGCTATGTTTCTATTCTAGATTCTAGTATTGAGCGAAAGTTTATACCTATGTTATTACAGGTCAATCCTAGTCCACTAGTACCAATAGGCAATAGAGGGGAAGAAGCACTACATCTAGGAATCAACAACACGTAAAATTTGTTATAAATTATCCTTTTCTTTAGCAGGCTTGGGATTAAAAGAATGGTTGGGACAACAAACATCCATCTCGTTTGTATTTTGGATACCCGTATAACCATCTAAGGCTGTTGAAGTGACTAATTCCTGGAAATTGGGAAGCGTTGAGAACAAAGAAATTGTTGAGTTATCATTTCTCTCTAGTACCAATACGTTTGATGTTAAGAAGGATCTCTTGCAGGAAGGTTGGCTAGAGATTTCTTGTAAAAACAGTAGCCCTAGTCAGTTCATAATGATAAAATTTTCATCTTATTTATCATTTTATCATTATGCACATAAGGGAGGATCCATATGTGATGAAAATCTCATGTATGGTTCTGTAACGGAGATTCTTTGAATTGAATGGAAACCGTAGCGGATGTCAGCTCAATCTGAAGGAAATTATGCGGAAGCTTTATAGAATTATTATGAAGCTATGAGACTATAAATTGATCCCTATGACCGAAGTTATATACTCTATAACATAGGACTTATCCACACAGGTAACGAAGAACATACAAAAGCTTTGGAATATTATTTTCGAGCGCTCGGACGAAACCCATTCTTACCACAAGCTTTTAATAATATGGTCGTGATCTGTCATTACGTGCGACTATATTCGCTATAGAAATAAAAAAGTAAAGAAATATCAAATTCGCTAGTAAATACTAGAAAACTGGGCTTTCTATATATGCATCGTCTAAAACAACGATTTTTATCAGCTGTAGGAAAGAAACTTCATAGAAGTTGAAATATGAAGAAATAGATATGCCTAGCTGTTTTATTCTATGAGTAAAAGATCTAATTGATAGAGTAAGCACCGTAAAGATCAATTAGCGAGGTTTTGGGTCGATACAATAATAATTGCTTACTTTTGTCATGATGTGAGACAAACGTTAGGAATCCACTTATGTAATAGAGTCTATCCACTAAGGTATTGAGCAGCGGTGTAGGATCATATCCAAAGATAGTAAGTCTTTCCTTTCAAAAGTCTTTTTCAAAAATTATATATAAATTTCTATATGATATGAAACTGTGATAGTTACCTTTCAGAAAATTGTAATGATAGGCGAAATGTCTATGTTTTATTCTTCTGAAGGTGGGAGAAAAGATAAAACTAAAATAAATCGGATTTTTAATCCAAACTTAAGATTTAAGTTTGAAACTCATTTTATTAACTTCTTTTTGTTAAACAGAAAAATGGAATAGATCTACGATAAATCTGATTCGGTTAGATATGGTAGATTCAAATGGGGTACAAAAAGAGTTGACTGCCAAGCTGTATGAGGTAGGAAACTCTCAAGTATTGTTCTAAGGGAAGGAATTAACCCACCTATTCCGACCGGGGAGAAAAGGCCATTCGGAAGGGGGATTCCGAAATTGCGGAGGCTTGGTTCGACCAAGTCGCTGAGTATTGGAAATAGGCTATAGCACTTACTCCTGGTAATTATATTGAAGCGCATAATTAGTTGAAGATCACTAGACATTTCGAATAAAAGACGATACCCTTTTCTTTATTTTAGTTATTATTGAATTTCTAATTTAGATTGTTTTAGATTTTTTTTAATAATTAATTGTTTGTTGCCCCCATCAGTCAAATAAAATAGTTCATTCCTTTGGGAAGAACCAATCAAAGAATTTCTTTATATCCATTCTAAGCATTCTATTTCATATGGTATTTCGTACGAATAAAGGATACATGGGTACCTTACAAAATATAGTTTTTAATTGTCTTTCTTTTTTCTATTAAAAAAAGACGATTAAAACTAATCAAATCAAAAATACTTCGAATCAATGAATATATGAAAATTTCTTAGTAATGGCTAATGGCTGCTCGCGTGATTTGGAATAGAGTAATAGTATTATCTAAAAAACATGAAGCAACTCCGTCTAATAACTTTTAATTGAGATCTGAAATATACTAGGTTGCACAAAAAGTAGTTTTTGTATCAATCTAAAGTCGGAAAGGGTTTTATAAGATCCAAAAGGTCTGTTGAGTGCCTCATGGCTATATCATAATAGATCCGAACACTTACCCCGGATCGACTTCCAAATCATATTTTCTCTAGAGAATAACTAAAGAAAATAGATAGATGGGAGATAGAAAACTAGAATAGAAAGAAACTAATTATATAATAGAAATATCTCTCCAAGATTCACTAATTATTTAACTGTTGGCGGGTCTCTTTGTATGTGTTGTCCGGAAAGAGGAGGACTCAATAATTATTCGTTCGCGGGAACCAGAAGTAAAAATTTTGGTAGATAGGGATCACATAAAAACTTCATTCGAGTAATGGGATAGATCGGGTCATTTCTCAAGAACAATAGCTAAAGGCCCTGAAACTACCACTTGGATCTGGGACCTACATGCTGATGTGTCACAACTAGCACTTTTGGCTAGGAAATTCTGTCCTCAGGTAAGTAAGGACTATTGAGAGATTTGTGCTAACACTCCTAAGTGTTCAATATGAGTTCCTAAGGAGCCATAAAGTGTTAGAATGCAAATCTCTCCAAGTATAGTGAATCTCTCCCAAATCTCTCCAAGTATAGTGAATCTCTCCCAAATCTCTCCAAGTAAGTGAAATCTCTCCAAGTATGTGAAATCTCTCCCAAATCTCTCTAAGTATGCGAAATCTCTCCAAGAATAGTGAATCTCTCCCAAATCTCTCCAAGTATGTGAAATCTCTCCCAGAATATGAAATCTCTCCCAAATCTCTCCAAGTATGTGGAATCTCTCCCAAATCTCTCTAAGCACCTTCCTTAGTCGAAAACAGCTCAAAACAGGAAGAGGAAACCCAAAAGGACCCTCTTGGTCTGGAACCCTCTTGGTCCGGAATCCTTTTGGTCCTAAACTTCTTGCTCCTAAACCTCTTGCTCCTGAACGTCTTGTTCCTGAACC